GGATATAATATAATTCTGGTCTCTATAGACGTCTTACTATATATAGTACTTATTATTAGTTATTAGTTTATTGCATAAACTAGTCGTATAATATATAATATAGGTTCGCGACGTTCGTTGACCACTGCGAGTAGCCAAGTCAGTCAAACATAACCCGTATATAGTATATAGTATATAGTATAAGTACCAATATATCTTATATGGCTTGCATACGAGTGTTATACATTATATTATTACAAAAATACTTTGTTCGTTAGAAGTCCGTTATTATATCGATACAATATACATAATATATAATAAAGTGTAACGCGTGCGTAGCGGCGTCCGTCTGGTTAAAATAATAATAATAATAATAATAATACGTCCCCTCTGCGCGGCGTGCACCGGTCAACACCGCGGGCCCCATTGTGCCTAAGTGTGCGTGCGGGCGCAACGCCCGTGTGTGTGAATGCGAAAAATCAATACCGCCCCCGCGCCGCACCTTTGGGCCGTGGACGAGATGACCATTCGACGGCGGAGGCTGCTTTATATATATAATATGTATACCAAACACATAATGCACGATATGGTATACATTATATTATTATTATAGGTACCTCTATATATACGCGTATATTATGTGTGTAACGTCAACATCTGTTGAAATGACCCAGTTGTCGCCGTCGTCGTCGTCGTATATACGCGCATATATGTACAGCAGCGTTTTCCGTATCCGGATGTATATATACGCGGGGGTGGAGGCGCGAATAGCAATAAAATGGGGAAAAAATAAAATAAATAACGTTTCGTATATTATATGTACGACTCTCGTCGCGCGTCTGTTATATTATTATTATATTGTCGCCGTCGCCGTCGTTATAATATTATGTATAGATAGGTATACTATATACGTGTGCAGAGGTGAGCGCGCGTRTATAATATATATACATATATAGTCCATCGTGGTGAAATGACCGTTGTATTGTTGTGTCGAATATATATAATATGTACGCTACGAGTGCAATTAGAATATGACGGGTCACATATATATACGTAGGTATATGCTGCGTTATAAATGTACATATTATGTGTGTCCGTCGACCCTCGGCCGTAACACAAAAGAAGCACTGATGAAGGGTTCGCGATAATATTATTATTACTATTATTATTAKTAGTAGTAGTATGTGCGTTATAATAATATGTATATTAGGTGATGTGGGCGAAACAAATTTCCCACGTGTGCGAGAGTACTTATATRTACCACGCGGTTAGGTCATATAATGCTATTTAGACTAAACATTGCGAGGTCWGAGGGAGCGATGAGCTGTGGTCTTTGAAAAGGCGATACTCATGCCGGTCACCGCGTCTCACACTTCGATTATATAGGTACCCAAAGGTGTGCATCTATGTATATGATATTATATGGGCAGCACATGCATATTATGTAAACGAAAACGGCCGGTACTAAGAAGCAAAAAATCGACTTTTGTCGACTTGGTCGACGGTAAAGCGTCGTGACGGAATATCGGAGYATGGGTGGACATCGCATCTCTGCTGACGAAAAAAAAACAATTCAACAATAATAATATTACAGAGTTGTACTATAACATATAATATATTGTCGTGCAGTGTTCGACCAAGTCAACGTGTGCCACCGAGTTCGTTCGACTTGTCGTCATAGAACCTAATAGTTGTTGATTTATAATTATGCTTGTCGTCCCACTGTTGTAACTTGTGTAGTCTGCTTGCTGCTGCAGGTCGCGTGGTTGGATGCGGAGACGGTATCTAAAGAAAAATATATAATGTTATTATTTATATATTATTAATTATTAATATCCTTGTCCGCACACGTTATACAATCAAATTACAATATTTTAAAATTATATTTCAATGCGGATACGACAGTCTTGCGAATTTGCCAAAAACATTTTATTTCGGCAGTATACCCGAAAACGGTTAGGTACCGCGACTAAATACGACCGATTGTCTTCATTCTATATATTTATGTACWCAAGCCTGAAGCTTTTTACTCGCATACGAACACGCTTACCCCGCGTCATTGCAGCACCGAAATCGACGTATACGCGACTATAAAAGTATCATATAATATATATATATATACTGTGGCATGAATGAACTCGATTGGCTATATATTATTAGCGCGATGTGCAAGTAAAGGGCTACTTTTCCACTACTGCGGGGACTTCGCAAAAGGGATTTTATCGTTGTTTTTATATAATAGTATAATAGTTTCTAAAGCGACACGTTCACGAATCCGTTGGCTTTATTTTCGATAGTTTTTATCGCACTACAATTTTATTATATACGACGGCCGAAAATAGGTAAGTATTATATAAGATTATAGACTATAGCTATATATTTAAATTATAATATGGCAAAATTTTCAAATATATTTTGTAGTTATTTTGATTTTGTCAATTAATGTTTTTCAAATACTTTTATGTATAACACAGTTCATTAAAAATAATATACGTTTGTACAAAAAAAAGATTTAATTCAGTTATGGATTTAATTAATGAATAATTATGTACCTATTTATAATAGTAAGCTTAAACTATAATTAGTGTCTTAGACTTATAAAAATTATACATGTACTATGACTATATTACTATATATTATATACCTACTATTATAGTATCTTTCGCAATATATATGCACAATAAATATCTACTAAACTATTGGTACTAATATTTTAATTTAATTTATAGCGGTATGCTGTACATAATCAAACTGTGTATAAATTAAATATTATATTTAACTTCAAGTATTAATAACTGTTTAAGTTTAGAAATAAGTACCAGTGTACATATAAGTGCAATGATTCCTCATTATACCAGTCATGCCTGTATACTTGTATTATCCAATTAGTGGTTTTACTGAAGTATAAAATAATAAGTACTTGTGTGATTCGTATATAGTAAAAACAAATTTTATTAATTGTCGTGCTAATTATAATAAAAYAAAAACATTTTTATGTCTGACAAATTATTTTACATTTAGTTAATATAATAGTAATTGAAATAAACACTACTTTTATGTTACATAATATAGTTATTATATTTACCGATATATGATAATAATAATTGTATAAGTATCTATAACTCTATCAAGTTATTCTAGCAATTAATGATATATTGTACGAKTTTAAACGAGGTTCGCGGCTAGATAGTAAAGTTGAACCTATTATACTTTTAACAACGTCTTCACTATATCTAATGGACGTAGAGGACGTCGTTTATCAGAGTAGAATTTAAAATAGGCGATATATAACTTTGAAAGTTAAACGTCTCTCGGCGCTTGAAAAACGTATATAGGCATTAGGTAGTTCGTAGTTGGGAAAATAATACAATAATGAAACGGAATATTTGTACTTCAAATACCTGCTGCAGCGACGCGCACGTATAATAAATATATTGTATTATATTATTATATTATGTATATAAAAAAAAAAAAAAAAAT